GTTAGCTAGTTTAAAATTCCATAGTAGTAGCGAACAAGAGACAGAAAAAACCCTCTCCTTATACTAGATGGTTCATTATGACTAAAATACTCAGGTTTATATTGAGACTAGAATCCTATCCCAGAAAGACAGATCAGAGCGTCTCCCTCCCCGCCCCCATGCAGTAGTATTTATGTAAAATACTTTTATTACTTTGCATAATTGACATTTCTAAGTAAATATTAATTTTTAAAGCATTGTCTTTATTTTTCCATTAAAAATAAAATGCTACAAATATAACACCGTTTCTTAATATTTCTCCACATTTATGCAGGTTACATGGTAACTCAAATTTTCTGTTTATGTGGCCATTATATAGAAATGTGTTTTTGTCTTTTGTAAAATGTCTTAATCTTCATTCAAAAGAGGTGAGCAACATACAGCAGAGTTTCTCCCTTTGTCGTACATGGAAGTTGTGCTGTGGCTCAAGGACATTCTTAACGGGGATTATTCCTCCCACTGTGAAGCCAGGCAGGATCACTAATGACAAAATCAGCTTGCCAGTTCTTTTTATCCTATCTGCCCACAAGCAAATTCCTAGAAAAACGTTAGACATAACTTTTGACGTTTGCTTGCTTTTGACCTTTTCTTGCAACTTTCTTCTCTCTGATACCTGTAATCAGGAAGTTCTATACTCTCCCAGGACACATCAAGGAAAGCTGCTGATTGGGCTTGCCATTCCCGGACAAGGCCCTTTAAGAGGAGCAAGGGCATGCTGCACCAGATTGTTCTCCTTCTTGCCCAAAAAGTCCTTTTTTCACAGGTGCACAATAGATAAGAGGTTAGGTTTCTTACAGCAATGGGATTCACAGGAGTTGGTGTCAGGGAATCCAGGAACTCAAAAGAGATAGAAGGAAACTGAAACATTCCTTATGGCACCATATCTGAGGAGGCATCCAGGCTTCTATAGTAGTTCAGGCAAAGGAGCCATTCCTGTTCTTGTCTGCATGGATCCCACCATGCCCTCAATGTTCTGGGGCCCTGGCCATTCAAGGTGACTGCATGGTTAAGGGCATGGTGGCTATCATCTTAAGATCCAAGAGAGAGAATGGCTTTTTGCTCAGACTCTTCAGCACTTGCCAACAAGCTAATTTGAGAAGAAAACAAATGACACTTAGGATGCTGGGCATAGATCCTTGAGTATAAAGTCAGGCTTTTATCGAGAAGGGAAAAACTATTGCAGGAGGTATAGAGGTATGTAAGAAACTCGGTCTCAAAAGAGCCCAATCCATTTTCCATTGGCCACTTTCAGATTCTGGACAATCCCAATATTTCTTGAAGTACTACATACAGCACTTATCCTACACAAATTGAGTCAGGAAGATTTAAAAAAATATTCTGCTGCAGGCAAACAGGCCCCAGTTCTAGCCATGTTCAAGTCTGGTAGATGCTCCTGTAGCCGCTGATTGCAAGAGAACAGCTAATAACACTACAAAGAGCCCTGCAATGGTATTTTTTGAGAAAGAGCTCACGAGACCAATATTTTGACAAAGAAGTGAAGGTCATACCTGTGTTCAGCCAATAATTGTTTTGGAGATGACTTCTAGTGAGATGAACTAGTGACAGGCTACCAAGACAAACTGGCCAAAATTGGAATTTCCACTATCCTAGTCTCGTGCCAGTTCTACAAAGTTCTCCATGCCGGGAGACTTTGTTTTAAAGCTGGAACAAGGCTAAATCCAGAACTATTTGCCTCTAAGAGCAGCAATGTCAGAAAGAAAATATATTTGTGCTTCTGTCCCTAATGGAAAGACGAGCAATGTATTAGCTCCTTCCCCCATTCTCATCACTCCATTTTCACCCCCTATCTAAAATCAGCTACAGAGGAATCCAGCCCCACTTTAGTAACCTATCAGCTGTTTTAATTACAGGTATCCATGTGACTGAGCAAGAAAAGTGCATATTCAAGTAAAATGATGATGTTCAAGTCTAATGGGTTTCTGTGCCCTAACAGTGATGATGAACCTGACACATTTGCCACATCTTCAGTGACATGTCAGCATTCACCAGTATCAGACAACTATTCTCAAAGCATGACCTATTCTTGCGTGATTTTTGGAGGCTGTGCAAGAATGGGATGTGGTCTCACACGGCCTCTGGCCCTTCCAGAAGGTACATGAGAGGGCCATGCAAAGGCCTTTGAAAATTTTGTGAGAATGGTGCATGCTTTTGCAAAGTTTTTGGAGGCTGCAGAAGCTGATGAAGAGCATTCTCCAAAGCCACTTCAAGAAAGAAGGCCTGATAGGCTGCAAAAGCTTGTCCACAGAAATAATACAACATGAAGATAAGTAGTGTGTGGCAAATCCTGGAGGATGCTTGGCTGTGGGGGCAATTGCACCATTCCCCAAGACACATACACCTTGCGAAATAGTGTAAGGTGGCCTTTCTGAGTGGCAGCACAAGAGCTGAAGCTGAGGCCTCGACTGTTACTTCAGGCACAGCCTCAGTGATGCTGCCAAGTGCCACTATTCAGTGTGGCCCAGATTGAGGGAGGTGATAAATGTTTCTCTTTGTGGGTGGGGTGGGGTGTGACACTTCAGCAGTGTCAAGTCATTGTGTAGGTAGGCGTTGTCCCAATTTTTGACATGCCAAGCCGAAAGATTTGCCATCCATGTTTTAGCAGTATCTACTACAGTGGTCTACAGAAATGACTATCATATTTTTCAGAGTATAAGACGCACTGGAGTATAAGATGCAACAAGGTTTAGAAGAGGCAAATTTTAAAAAAAGTTTATTTTTCTTCAAAAAAAGGACATGAATAACCTTTAGGAGGTTTGTAGAGTTCTGGGGGCTGGGGAGGAGCAAAAATGAGCAAAAACAGTCACCTTTTTGTGATAACGGGCCCATTTTTTTTTTAAAGGGCATGCATAGCCTTTAGGCGGCTTATAGTGTGCTCCTGGGGGGGGGGGGGCAAAATTGAGCAAAAAATGGCCTGTTTTTGCTCATTTCTGCCCTCCACAGTCCCCAGGAGCACTCTGAAAGGCTCCTAAAGGCTATGCTCGTCCATTTTGGTGAAGGGGGCAAGGTTTCGGGAAGCAAAAAATGCTGTATTCAGTCTATAAGACACACCCATAGTTTCTTTTTTGAGGGAAAAAGGTGCCTCTTATACTCCTAAAATACGGTATATTACTTTCTCACCCCATCCCACCCCGCTTCCAATCATGTCCTGGAGACTGTCAGGAGGACTAGTTTTCTTGACAAAAATTTTCAGAAGTGACTTGCCATTGTATCCTTTTTAGAAAAAAATGACTGTCCCAAGGACACCCAACAAAATTCATGTTCAGGGTGGGATTTGAACTCAAGGCCCCCAGGTTATTAGTCTGATACCTTAACCACTGCACCAAACTGGTATGCGATTCATCTACTATCTCACAGTAATATCCAACCTTACATAATCTCTCAGTTCCTTTTGTCAGTGCCACGTTCCTCACGTTCCTCTGGCAAAATCATCTTGGACAAGCAGCATTTAAACTTCTGAGCTGCCAATAGAGGCTGTGTCCTGTGAATTAGGTCATCAGTCCTTTCTTAGCACACAAGTCTACACCAGTAGGTGATTTCTAGTCGTCTTTTTCACACACTTCTAAAATGGCTTCTCATCTCATTTAGTTTAGAAATCCCTTTCAAGGATTTCATGTCTATGTGCATGTAAATATATTAGATGAGGCATCATCTGGCAATCTTAGCCTAATGGACAGAGAAAAGTGGTTTCCACTTATGCTTCAGATTTAATTGGAATGAAAACAGTCCAACCTCATTTAAAAATAAGTATCTTCTGCCCTCTGCTGTATTTCTTACCAGCAGAACCCGGAAGAGGTAGCCTGAGTCATCAGTATTAAAGGTTGGGATGGAATTAAAAATCACTGGCCTTTTTCTCTGTCAGCAGGGAGGTTTAGCTATTTTTGGTTCAAATCATTTGCTTTGTAGATTCTCTACAAATTTAATTGTGAAACAATGCTGTTCCCCCATTGAATACCCCCATTTTGCATTTATCAACATTTACATAATTGAGAAATCTGGGCACACAGATGGATGCAGACCATTCTGATTGCAAATGATGTTTGTCTGTGTGTTATTTGGATCTAGTTTCCATCATATTACAAGGTTTCGAACATAATATACGTGTAGGTGCAAGTTGATTGCAGCTTCATTAAGTGGATACTTTGAACTTGATGGTAGATGTACTTGAGTTTTTCCTATAGAGAACTTTTAACTTCACCAGAAAGCAATGCTTTAATGCATGGACAAGTGGTAAAAAATGAACAAGTGCTTATTTTCAACAAACCTCCAGTTCACCATTTTATAGGATTTATACTTGGAAATTATCATTGGGTATCTTACATCTCTGATCTAAATTCAAATACTCTAAAGGAAGAAATGGTACACATTTCAGAAGGGCAGTTCTTTGTGGGGTATATTATAAGAAGTCTAACTCACTGTTCTTCAACTATTTAAATATAGTAAGTTGACTTACTACTTGTCACTCTCCAAGGAAGGTCTATTCCTCCCTGGAGAGTGCTACAGTTTATTCTACACAGATGAGTCTCCTCTTTTATATTTTTTTAATCCCACCATTATTATTTTTATAAATAACTCAAGGTGGTGAATGTATCCAATACTCCTTCCTCCTCCTATTTTTTCCGTAACAACCACCACTCTGTCAGGTGAGTTGGGTTGAGAATGACTGGCCCAAAGTCATCCAATTGGCTTTCATGTCTAAGGCCAGGACTAGAACTCACTATCTCCTGGTTTCTAGCCTGGGTGATGCACTAAGCAATCCATAACTATAGCTGTATCTATCTCAGTTCATCTGATCTGCTCTCACAGCCTACTGCATTAAGAGTACAGTCTTCTTTTTCCCTTATAGGTTTTCAACTGCCAATAAGGATTTAGCAAGAGGGAAATGCTCTACTACACCTGTTAGAGCATATTGTGGAAGCTGAATCATCCACGAAAAGGCAATGTAGTTGTGTAAATAGTTTATTCAGTCATATGCCATGAACAGATCAGAAAAGTAACATGAATTGCTTTTATAAAACACCTATAATATTGCTAAGAAGCAGATCTATCTACTAGATAAAAGATCCAAGAGAACATGCCAATATTGCAGCCTATTTAGTCATATTGGAGTATTGCAGTATACTAGGAAATCCCTTGCAGCTGTTTATAGAAACTTAAATAATATTGCTGAGCTGGATTTTACCCAAATTAAAAATGTTCATCTTTCATAATGGAAAAGATGTAATAATGGCATGTTCTCTTTTGCATGTCAAATATACATTGCTGGATTCTGTCAGCATGTTGGCAGTTGTTTAAAATAAATTTTCTGTAAAGAGACAAGCAAAGGTTAATGAAACAACTTTTGAGCCCCAGACTGTCCATTTAGTTAAATATAAAAACAAAACAAAACTATAAGTTAAGAACATTCAGATTGTATAGCACAGATTGATGCATTTTTAAACAATATTTACAATATTACCCGAGACTAGAGTGGGAATTAAAAAGAAGTGTAAAAACCATAAAAAAGCACCAATTTTGTAGCAAAATATCTGTACATTTAAAAACATTATATAACTACACATTATCAAAGGAATAATAACCACCTTGACCAGTGGTTCACAGAAGCACGATATGAAAAAAAAAAAATTAAGTGGTTAAATACTATACAATAAATTTTACAATTAACATAATGATGCAGTGCTACCAGCAATGGGAAGAATGTAGGCAAGGTGAGTCTCTTAACTTCCAGTTTTTTACTTTGGAGAAGAAAAAAAATCAAGGGTCCTTTCTTGAAGCACTATTGATAAATAAGCCATTAAAGTTAGCTTAAAGTTTAACATGTGAGCATCCCAATCCAAAAAGAGGATATCTAAGCATTAATCATCTGAATTTTCCAAGTGTGCCTAGGAGAAGGTATGGCAGAACCTGGGGGAGGAGTTAAAAGAGGGATCAGCCTAGAATCCATACGTAGCCACAAGTGAACTAAGTCCAACCTCTTTTGAATTCTGTTGACCCTTGTCTAACTCCAAGCAGGTGCTAACTGTTAGCTAAGAATATCCCTGTGCATGGGCATGCGTAATAATAAATCAATTTAATTGGACCTGATATTTTGTGCCGGATGGTATCCTGCTGCACTGCATTACATTCAACAGCTTGTGTAACCTGAATGTTAACTGAAGGGAATCCAGTGCAGAAGCATTGAAAATGGATTGGTGCAAAGCATAAATGGAAGTGAACTACGTAATTTCCTTTGTACGGAATCCCACAGCATTCCTGCAATGTTACCCTAACCTTGTTCGGAGGGCACTGCCTTTTGACCCTTTTGAGAATTGAGCAGTTTGTGATCCTTATGAGTTCTAATACTGATTATTGAGAAGTTAATACCTTAGTGCTAATTAATAAATAACATTGTTACCCCAGGGTTAGGGTTAAGGTTATGCTTGCCACTACGTAAAAAACACAACAACTGTGTTTGCAGTGTGCCCATCCTCTTCAGCTATATCACCTCGTTTTATTTACCTTTACCAGCAACTGTGTGTACTAGGTAGAAGTTGAAAACAGGCAAGTGTGTTCATCTAAATCCCATATTTTTCCCACATTGTATTTACAGCAGAAATCCCTCTAGCTAAACCAATTAGCTTTAAACCTTTGCCAACTGTATTCACATCTCCCTTAACATTGGCTTTATGGATATTTCCCCTCAGCCTTAAAGTGAACTAAATGTTCTTAAAGGGTCCAACTTATTTTAATATCTTTTGCTCCTTTATATATGATAAAGTCCTTCTCCATGCATACATGTACACATATGTGTGTGCATATATACACCCACATGTATATAAACACACACATACATATCTATATAATGCTAGTAAGTGCAGCTGAAGCTCAAAGTTAACTCTTCAAAGTGTTCAGGAATGTACTGAAAATATTAAAAAAATCTACAGCAGCTCTTATCAGAATATTCCCTATTTACAACCTGTTATGAAATCAAAAAAGTCCACTGAAGGCTATTTACTAAACTGTATGTAACAATAACAAAAAAAAATACATTATGTATTTTACATTTTGGTTAAGAACACTGAAGAAATTTTATTGGTGTAAAAAGTTACCCAATCAAAAAAAGAGTCCTATTGCTTTCAATAATTTGAGTAGGTCCTTGAAATTTAGGCACTTGGTAGCTACAGTTGTATGGCCAGCCCATTTTTTTTATTTTTTTGCTTTACATTTTTTTTCCCGTTCCTATGCGTTTTCAGTCCTTACTGAGCCCTTCAGAAGACTAAGTTAAAGGAATTCCGAACAAGGCCATAATTAAAATGGCAACACAAACAGAGTCCGCATGGTGAGGAAGCAATCAAGGGCACTTTCAACTGGTTTATAGGCACAGTTTCTCCCAGCCGGCTCACATAGCCAGTTCAGCACCATTGACGGCACGTAGGTTCTGATCGTCAACACGCCGCCGGACGCTTCTCCTCACCGCATCGGCTCGTCGGTAGGGTTGATTTCTAAGATCTATGGGGGAGAAAAACAGTGGAGGAGTCAGAAGACGGCCACCCCCTGCTTTTGGAGCCAGAAAGAGAGGGTCCTGCTGGCAGCCCTTCAAAGCAGCTTGAAGCCAAGGAGAAAAGGGACCACTTAGATTCACAGAGAACTTAGCAAAGAGCATAGAGGGGCCTATCTTCACCTACTGCTTTAAAAAGGCAAGAATTAATTAATTAATTTTTTTCTCCCTTCCTTCTTGCAAGCCTATAATGGGGACAGAAGCTTCTGATCCCTTGATGGCAGCTCCACTTTGCTCTTTATGAAGCAGCTGTGGGAGCTGTTTCTCCTTCCGTCCTTGCCTCTCCTTCCTGAATATTTCCACAGGTTGAAGGCTTTCACAGCTCTTTCCTTGCAGAGTAAATCACTCTCTGGAAGAAAGGTCTTTCATCACAGGCTCAGCCATGGGATGTCAACCTGAATCATCACTAATGATCTCCCTCAAGAAGAAGGAAGAAAAGGGCGGCTGTTCCCACAGTCCCAGAAGGGAGAGGAAAAGGAAAAATGCTAGTGTTACCCTCCGTGTTAACCTCCCCTGAAATCTGGGATTCTACTGATTTCTCCAAAAATTCCTTTTCCTCCTCCTCCTCCTCCTCCTCCTCCTCCTCCTCCTCC